GCACTCCTTTGTCCTTCAACGCCCTCGCCTTCATGGTCGTGCGGTACGCGTTGGTGTACCTGCCGTCCGAAAGCACCATGACGGCGCTCTGCGCGTCGTCCCGGCCCTCCGCGAACATGTTGTCGGCCGCCTGGAGGGCCTGCATCATGTTGGTGAACCCACGCTGCCACTGCAGCCCGGCGATCGCCGTGCTGACGGACTCCAGGTCGCTTGTGATCGGGACCACCTCGAGGGCCGCCGCGACGGTGCCATTGTCGAAGTACTCGCCATTCCCGAACAGCACCAGCCCGATGCGCATGTCCTCCACGCCGTAGTACGTGCTCTGGTACCTGCTGGTGAGGTTTAGAGCGAATTTCTGGAGGATGTCGAAACCCTCCTGCTTGAGGGAGCCGCTGCCGTCGATCGCAATGACCAGGTCCTGCCTGGCGATGCAGATCTCATCGCCGACGCAGTCCTGGGTGTTGCACTCCTGCATCTGGAAGCGGTCGGGGTGCTTCTGCCCCGGGCACTTGCCGTTCGCGCGGATGGGGATGTCCACCTTGCGCACGCGCTCCTGGATGCCGCCACCGCAGGCCATCGAGCACGGCTCCCACGCGGTCCACGGCATGAGCGTACAGTCGCGGTCGCACGAACCGGTGTTGCACGGCTGCTCCTCGAGCGTGGCGTCGCACTCCGTCCCCCCGTTCTTGGGCTTCACGAGGATGGACCGGGTCCTCCCCTGGGTGCCGCCCCCGCACTCCTTGGAGCAGCCCGACCAACCGGACCACTCGGACAAGGAGCAGTGGACCGGGCAGTGAAACTGGTTGCACTTCATGCCCTCGGTGCCGTTCTTGCGCTCAAAGAACAGCGGGGGGCAAGCCATGCCGAAGGAGTTCGGGGAGACGATGACCTGCCTGGTGAGGTGCTTCATGCCGCCGCACGCGTCGACGTCGACGCCCCCGACGTCGGCGGGGCAGCTGTCGTCACAGTCTACGGGTACGGAGCTGCCCCTCCCGTCGGTAGTGCATGGCCCCGCGGACCAGTCCGTCACGTCGCAATCCTTAATCGAATTCGTGGGCGAGACACTGCTGTACCGCATCAACGCATTGCGCACGGTCCGGGTCCCGCAAATGTTAGTGTAGAGGATCTCGCTCATGCGCTTCTTGCAGTTCGCCATCCTCATGGTGAAGGCGCGCTCGATGTCGCGGTGCTGCTGCTGCTTCTCGCGCGTCGCCGCCGTGAGCGAATTGATCTCGGAGATGGACTCGCCCAGCATCTCCGTAAACTTCATCTTGTTCGATCTCAGTGTCGCAATCTGCTCGTTCATGTTCTCCTTCTCGCCCTCGTAGGCGTCGCGATTACGTTGCATGATGTACGTCAGCTCGTCCACCAGGTCCTTAAACTTGCCCCACTCGAGCGCCATGAGGTCGTGGAGGTAGCCGCAGTTGACCTGGCCGTTGAGGCACTTCCTCGAGCCGCCCTTCGGCTGCTTAACCGACTGCGGCGGGGGCGCCTGATCGATCTGCAGCAGCGAGGGCGCCCCCGAGCTAGCCGCCCCCAGCACTTCCTGGAGCACCTTCTGCACCCGCGGCGACCGATTCAATTTCGCTGCCAGAGCGGCGTCGCTCACCTCCACCTGGGTGCCGTTGTCCGTGTCGCAGATCTGGAACTGGACGAGAGAGTACGTGTCGTCACCGTAAGCGTTGGGACACTTGGACAGCTGCAGGATGGCAGTGAAGACATCCTGGTCGTCCTGGCGCAGCGACAGCTCGTACGCGTTCTTCTCACGGGTTGTCTGGAAGCCCCGCTTCAGAATCCCCAGGGCACTCTCAAGGTCGTTGATCCGAGTGTTCATGTCCGCAATGCCCCCCTCGGCCTCAGACTTCTGGCGTTCCTCGTCGGCCAGGTCCGAGCCTAGGTGTTCCAGGTCTGTCACTACCTGGCTGAAGACCATGCGGTTGCTCTCCTCAAACTCCTTGCACTCGACCTCGATCTGGTCCAGTTGGAGCCACGCGTCGTACATCATATTGTTCAGGTACACGCGGCCCTTCGCTAACGACACCTCGCTGAACTGTCTGGCCGCTTGCTCCCCGCTGGACAGGCGCAACAAGGACGACACATCCTTGGGCAGCTTGTCCTCCAGCAGTGGCAGCGCATCGCTCAGCTTCATCTTCTTGTGCACCTTGTGCGCGATGTGTCGAGTGGTGGTGTCCCTGCTCCGAAGCATGTCCTGCACCATGTAGCCCACCTTCGCGCGCAAGCTCGTGCCAGTCACGGCGCGCTCCCTCTCGTCGCCCGCGCCGGAGCGAAGGAGGGCAGCGCGCCCCGACGCACAGAGGAAGACGGCCAGGGTGAAGCCCAGCATCGGCCTCATCGCTGCTGTCTGGCTCCGTCTGCTTCGTTGTCTGCGAGATGGCACTATAGAGGGCCGCTGCAATTAACACTGACTCCTGACGCAAGCTTGAGTTAGAAGGGCAACGGGGGTCCTGTGGAGCCTTTTTCTGAATGGTCTGGATCTGTGGTCCGCGCCCAATGCTGGGGAGGCGCAACATCGAAAACCGCTCGATAACATTGAGAATCAACCGGATTTTCCTCCGGGGAGCCTGTGGAGCGCACACCTGAAGGCCTCACGGGGCTTGCGGGGAGGACCCTCCCACAGAGCGCCGAAGCCCCCCCGCAGAGCCTCTTAGACCATGGAGGTTCGGGGCCCTTGGGCTGGAGCCCATGGTTTTGTCCCCATGGGCCCTTGGGCTGGAGCCCGGGGTCGCTCGAACCTCTCCATGGAGAGGTTCGAGCGACCCCGGAGCGCCGTCTGCCAGGCGCGGCTCATGGAAAGCACACGGGGACCGAAGAACCTGCACGAATCAAAAGATCCCTGGAAGGTTTTCTGGGGACATGATTTCTTGGGGTGTGTTGGAGGGCCTCTTGGGCGTTCCCTGGGAGCGAGCCCCTTGGGGGTCTCTTGGGCTTCATAGGGGGCCTCTTGGGCGCCTCACGGGGCTTCGTGGGAGCCTCTTGGTGGCATCTGGGGGCCTACAGGTGGCCTCGAGGGCCTCGAGGGCCAGAGACCTCGAAATATCGGTTGGCGGCCCCCCTCTGGGCCCTGTCTTGGGGAGCTCTTGGGGCACACTTGGGTTTTCTGGGGAGCCTCCTGGGCCGTCTTGGGGCCCTCTTCGGGGCCTCCTGGCCCGTCTTCGAGCGATCTGAAGGGCCTCCGAGCGAGGCCGTGAGGGAGCGCTGGGAAGCGGGGAAAGCGAGAACGCCAAAATCCTTCAAAAACAATCGGAAAATGAATGAATCTTGCCTCCCAAGGCCCTCTTGGGGAGCCTCTTGAGTCCGTCCTGGAGCGTGTTCGAGTCCTCGTCGGCCGTCTTGAGGGCAGCTTGGGCGTCTTCGGAGCCTCTTGGGACCGTCTAGGGTCCTCTCGGGACCTTCATAGCCTGTCGTGGCCTGCTTCGGGGCGGGCCCGGGCCGCCTCGGGACCCCTCTGGGCCTTCTCTTGGCGCGCTCTTGGGGCGCACTTGGGTTGTCTGGGGAGCCTCCTGGGCCGTCTTGAGGCCCTCGTCGGGGCCTCGTGGGCCTTCTTGGAGCGATCTGAAGGGCCTCCGAGGCCGTGAGGGAGCGCTGGAAAGCGGGAAAAGCGAGAACGCCAAAATCCAAAACACTCGGAAAACGAGTGAATCTTGCCTTCCAGGGCCCTTTTGGGAGCCTCTTGAGTCCGTCCTGGAGCGTGTTCGAGTCCTCGTCGGCCGTCTTGAGGGCAGCTTGGGCGTCGTCTTCGGGGCCTCGTGGGACCGTCTTGGGTCCTCTCGCAACCCCCTTAGCCTGTCGTGGCCTCCTTCGGGGCGGGCCCGGGCCGCCTCGGGAGCTCTGGACCCCCCCCCCGCAACCCCTGGTGGGCACCGATGGGGGGAACAAGCAGCGTCCCACCCCCCCACCCCGTGCCTACTCCGAGATAGAGAATCATGTTCCCGGGAAGCTTTCTGGGAGCATGATTTGTTCGGCTCTCAAAGAGGGGGGCCTCTGGGGGCTCACCGAGGGGCGCATTTTGGCCTTGTCGGCAAGCCTATTGGAAACATGGTTGGGGCGGTGGGCGGAAGCCCAAGGAATCATGTTCCCGGAAATCTATCTGGGAAATAGAATTCACAGTGTCTTGGGGTCCCGCAGGGGGCTTCCCTGGGGGTCCCTTGGGGGCCTATTGTTGGGAGCCTCACGGAGCTTCTTGGGAGTCTCTTGATGACCTCCGGGGGCGTCCTAAGAGCCTCTCTGGCCGGAGACCTCGAAATGTCGCGCTCTTCGGGCCCTCTTGGGTCGCTCTTGGGGCTCTCTCGGGGCGCTCTCGAGGCCCTCTTGACTTATCTGGGGAGCCTCCTGGGCCGTCTCTGGGCTCTCTTGGGAGCCTCTTCGGCCGTCTTGGAGCGATCTGAAGGGCCTATGACGCGGTCCGGGACCGTGGGGAGGCGAAACATGGGAGAGCGCAAGAATGCTTCAAAAACCATTGGAAAAATTGTAATTTTCGGCTTCCATGGGGCCCTTTGGAGGGGCCTCTGGAGGCGCTCCTGGGGCGTGTTCGCAGCGTCGTCGGCAGTCCTGAGGCCATCTTCGGCGTGTCCGGGGCCTCTGGGGGCTGTCTTTGGGCCTCCTGGGAACCCAAGAATCATGTTCCCAAGGAGGCTGACGGGAATATGATTTCGAACGAGACCCTCTTGGGCCTCCCTGGGGCCGTCTTGGGGGCCTCCTGGGCTGGCTTTGGGACCTCTTGGGCCGTCTCGGGGGGTTCCGTGAGCCCCACAGGACGACCCTTTCGGGCCGTCTTGGGCCCTCTTGAGTCTCTCTTGGGCTGTCTTGGGGCTCCGCGGGAGCGTCTGCGGCACTGCGAAGACGAAGCAAGGGAGTATGCTGAATGCTGTCCTGGGGCCCTCGGGGTCGAAGGGGCCCTGGGAGCCCGAAAGTCATGCTGCCGGAGAGGCTTCTGGGAACATGATTTCGAACGGGGCCCTTTTGGGCCTCCCTGGGGCCGTCTTGGGGGCCTCCTGGGCCGGCTTCGGGGCCTCTTGGGCCGTCTTAGTCTTGGGGGGTTCCGTGAGCCCCACAGGCCGACCCTTTGGGGCCGTCTGGGGCCCTCGTGGGTCTCTCTTGGGCTGTGTTGGGGCTCCGCGGGGGCGTCTGGGACACTGCGAAGACGAAGCCAGCGAGTATGCCGAAAATCCACGTTTTACAACGGAAATGGGCAATTCTGTACCTCTTCAAGGTCCTCTTGGGGCCCTCTCCGGCCATCTTCAAGCCATCTCGGGCCCTTTGGGGCCTCGCTGAGGCTGTCCTGCGGCTCAGTATGGGTTCCCGGAGAGGCTTCCGGAAACATGATTTCGAACGGGGCCCTCTTGGGCCTCCCTGAGGCCGTCTTGGAAGCCTCCTGGGTCGGGGCCTCTTGGGCCGTCTTGGGGGGTCCCGTGAGCCCCACAGGCCGACCCTTTGGGGCCGTCTGGGGCCCTCTGGGGTCTCTCTTGGGCTGTGTTGGGGCGCCGCGGGGGCGTCTGGGGCACTGCGAAGACAAAGCCAGCGAGTATGCCGAAAATGCACGTTTTACAATGGAAAAGGGCCGATGTTTGCCTCTTGAAGACCCTCTTGGGGCCCTCACACGGGCCGTCTTGGGGCGCTCTTGGGCGACTTCGGCCCCTCCTCAGGCTTTCATGACCATCTGTACGGCCCGCGTGGCCTGCCGTGGACAATTTGGACGCGGCCCGGGGCAGTCCCGGGGGGTCTGTGACCCCCCAAAGGTTCGGGGGGCCCCAATTGGGGATGACGGCACCGATTTCCCCCTGGCCTTCTTATACATATATATATACATACATACATACATACATACATACATACATACATACACACATACATACATACATACATACATACATACATACATACATACACATATAGACATATATATATATATATATATATATATATACATATATACGTATATATACACATACACAAATACATAGACATAACCATAATCATAAACATAAACATAAACATAAACATGAGCATAAACATAACCATAAACATATACAGAAACATATACATATACACATACATACACATATAAATCGCCATATGCATAGACATATACATAAACATTGGCATGGACATATACATCGACATACACATACACATATACATATACATATACATAAACATATACATATACACATACATATACATATACGTATACTTGTACATACACATATACGTATACACATACAAATACACATACAAACACAAATACAAATACACATACAGATACATAAACATATACATGCACATATACATATACATATAAATATACATATACATATCCGTACACATGCACATACACATATACATATACACATACATATACATATACATATGCGTATATGTATACATATACATATACATATGCATGTACATATACATATACATGTACACATACATCTACATATGCTTGTACACGCACATATACATATACATATACATATCCATATAATGTACAATTACATATACATATACATATGCATGTGCATGTACATGTGCATGTTCATATACATATACATATACATGTACATATATAAGCATATATATACATATATATATATATATATATATACATATATATATATAAGTATAATGTTCCCAATCATCCTGTGGTGTTGCCATCATCATCACCCATTTCGGTGCACCCTTCACCCGTTTCGTGGCCCTATAGGAGCTCCACCGAAGGTCCCACTTGCTGCGCCCACGCTGCGTTCGCATGCGGTTCCGCCCCCTCTGCCGGCACACCCTTTCATACGTTTCGTGGCCCCACAGGGCGCTCCAACGAAAGCCCTAGTGGCTGCGTTCGCGCTGCGTTCGCATGCGGTTCCACCCCCCATGTCGGTACACACCGCACACGCTTCGTGACCCCATAGGGAGCTCCACAGAAGGCCCCAACGGCTGCGTTCACGCTGCGTTCGCGTGCGGTTCTACCCCCCCATGTCGGCACACCCCTCAAACGTTTCTTGGCCCCACAGGGAGCTCCACCGAAGACCCCGGTGGCTGCGTTCGCATGCGGTTCCACCCCCCTTCTCGGCAAACCCCTCACATGTTTCGTTGCCCCACAATGACCTCCACCGAAGGCCCCTGTGGCTGCGTTCGCGCGCGGCTCCACCCCCCCATTTCGGCACACCCCTCACACGTTTCGTGGCCCCACAGGGAGCTCCGCCGAAGGCCCCATGGGCTGCGTCGCAGGGACCTTTTCGGGGCGACCAGCGCGCGTCGCGCGAACTCCGCGCCGCGCTCTGCCCAGCGCCTCGCTCGCCCTTCGTCGATCCGCCCAGCGGCCAGAGCCATGCGCGCTATCACTTAACCAGCAAGCATTTTCTGCTCCGCGCAAAAGACGATCCGCGCGCGTCGTTGGGACCCCTCCGGGGCGACTTGCGCGCGTCGCGGGGACTCCGCGCTGCGCTGCGCCCGCAAAGTTGGACTTTGGAATACGCGGACAAA